AGTATTGGAGGTGCTATATGGTGACAGGTGGTCAGTAGCTACACCCGTGCTGAATAGACCATAATGTAATAATGCCTTGGAAAATCACTATGCTGTACAACTTAAAACTAATTTAACGTTGTGTGTCAACTATACTTCAATAACAGAAAATGGTAAAGAAAAAAAATACATACTGCTAGACTACAAAAAAAAAAAATATATATATATATAAGGATGCCTGGGTGGCTCAGTGGTTGAGCGCCTGCCTTCAGCCCAGGGCGTGATCCTTGAGTCCTAGGATTGAGTCCCACGTCGGGCTCCCTGCATGGAACCTGCTTCACCCTCTGCCTGTGTCTCTGCCTCGCTCTCTCTCTGTGTCTCTCATAAATAAATAAATAAAATCTTTAAAATATACATATGTATATATTACATATTATACATACATACATATATCCACTCTGAATTTTAATAGCCTAACTCTGCAGTTGTTCTTCACCCTATGGCTTGCAATCCAACATCCACAGCACCACACCAACGAAACACTGGGAGCTTTGAAAACCCCTGATGCCCAGGCTGAAGACCATGTCAATTAAATCAGGACCTCTGGGGGGAGGGACTTAAAAATAAGTATTTTTAAAGCTTTCCAGAAGTATCCAATGTCCAGGGCAAGTTGCTGATCACAAATTATCATCATAACAGTTCAAGTGATGTCAATACTTGCACCTAATCCAACACATTACATCTATTTGGTATTATAAACACAGAGACAGTAGGAGACATGCCTGAAATACTTTACAAGTATAATCCACTTTACAAAATAAAAAGTAATTTTACAACTCATTTCATCTGCTCATTTACCCCATGACTCACGACCCTGTTTTGTAGAAAAAGCTGAAGCTCAGAAAAGCTGAGTGCTCTGTCTGATACGATACAATCAAGACATGGAAAACTGAATGCCAAATGTGGTTTCGGGCCTCTATAACAACCGTACCCTAAAACGTAGAGAGTTCTTCTGTAGTCTTGCAGAGGCTGTGTGTGTGTGTGTGTGTGTGTGTGTGTGTGTGTGTGTGTGTTAAATTATGAACCAATATATATAGATGGGGCATCCGAAACTCAGAGGTGGTATAAGATTTGCTCCAGGTCACACAGTTTAGACTTGAATTCTTACGTCTCCTATGCTGAACTGACTTAGCAGGAAAAATATAAGCATATAATACTTTCCCTCACTTATTGGCCATTAAAGCCCCTTTCCCCACCCCTTGATCATATCGTGGGCAAATCTCAGACCCCTATGTCCACTCAGGTTCACAAAGCCTGGTTCAGTCTGATGCAGTGAAACTTCGAGTAAATTTGGCCCTGCCTTTCTCCTCCCTTCCCTCCAGTATAGCTCTTTCCAATGGCTCTAGTTTCCTTAGCGGAGAGTTGGGCTGTGGCCTGCTCCTTCATTCTGGGGATACATCCTCCTCTTCCTGTGTCTCTTATACTCCAATATACAGGGACTGGGGAGAAAGATTCAGGGAAGGTGGTAAGGAGTCTTTTACTTGACTGGGGCCATGTGCTCCCCACTGTGGGCAGTTATGCCCATTGTGAAGTAAAAGTCCACATGCTGGTTTCATTACAGTGCATTTGTGCATGCTTTAAGAGGCTCTGACCTGCAGTGTGACCCTTTCCCACTCCCTATGTCAGCCCCTACACTTGGCATAAATCAGTTCTTACACTGGGTTCCCCCGCCCAGCTGCCAACCCTTTTAAATATTGTTTGGGGCTGAATTGTGTACCCCCCACCCCAAAGTCCTAAGCCCTGATCAAGAATGTAACCTTATTTGGAAATAAAGTGTTTGCAAATGTAATCAAGTCACAAGGAAGTCATTAGAGTGGGTCCTAATCCAATGACTGGTGACCTTAGAAGGGGAATTTGGAAACAGACACTAAGAGAGACCACCATATGAAGACACAGAAGGAAGATGGCCATGTGAAGATGAGAATCCGAGCTGGGAGACATGCTGCCACAAGCTAAAGAACATGTTGGGCTACCAAAAGCTGGGACGGGCAAGGAAGGATCCTTCCCTAGAAATTTCACGGGGAGCATAGCTGCTTTTCTGACATCTCGGTTTTGGATGGCTAGATCCAGAAGTATGACACAATAAATTTCTATTGTTTTAGGCCATCTAGTTTGTGGTAAATTGTTACAGCAGCTCTAGGACTCTAACACAGATTCTGTACTAGCAAAATGGTCCAAGTCCAGCTACCAGTTCCTTTCTTCCATAGGAAACTCCTACCTGTCTGTCTCCCTGATCAGTTGTATAAAAAATCTAATACACCAATTGTATAATACACTAATTTTCTGTGACCGCCTACTATCACAGCCTGCTCCAAAAGGTCTCCTGCCTTCAAAATTTCCAAGTGAGAAGTAAATAAAAGAGTGCATACTCACTTCCATCCTCAAATTTCCTGGCATAAAAGTCAGCCTCTATGAAGAACGACCCCATTGTGCTTAGCTCTCTAGATAGCATCAGAGTGGTCCTATAAGATCTGCAGTTTAACAAACATCTACCTAGTGTCACTTAAGTCCTATGCTATATCCTGTCCAGCAAAATCAGTGTTCGCCCTCTATATGCCAAACAGATGGCTAATGCTATGCTTAGATCACCTTTGTTTTTCTTGCCATTTTAATCCTCTGTAGATGGTTGGTTACCTTCATCTTCATGAGACATTCAACTTTTTAAGATGGGGGAGTGGAAGGAAATGAAATAAGTCTCCCAGAGTCACTGTTTCTGGAAGATCTGCTCTAGGTATGGGCTTATTTATGCATCAACAACTGCCAACCCTTTACACTCACGTACATCTGTCTTTCTTGGCATCTGTCCATGTGCCACAGGAGGCCTTGTGAAGCTATCCTTGGACTCATTCCCCTCTTGAGCAGAGAGGGCACCTTCCACCTACTCCACATCCAGTGACCCCATTGACACTGTTCTCTCTGTGCTTACCAAGCCACAAAAAGCTCCTCAGACTATGAGACCAGACACACTGGGTTCAAATTCCACCTCTGCTGTGCGCGGCCAACTGTGTGATCTCTGGCCAGTTGCCTCACCTTTCTGAAGCTCAGTTTCCTCCTCTTTCACACTGCCATGATCCCACCTTACGGGGTTATAGTGAGGGCCACCACGACGGTAAAACACCTCGTACAAGGTAGGGAATCAATTATGGTATTTCTCTTCTTCCTTCCTCACCCCCGTCCTGGTACCCTATGAGTGCAGCAAAGAGATAAGAACTAGGCCAGCAATTTTAAGTGATGCTCTGTGAAGAGACAAGGCTTGTGGACAAACACAGGGAGAGGTGGAATAAAATGTGGTCTCTGAGATTGTGTGAATATGTGTTAGGGAAGGTGGTGTCATATATTTTTTAAAGCCCAATTACATTGTTCCAAGGAAGTTTCATAAACAAAAGCAGAAATACTGTAGGCACAGAGGTTTAGGATTCAATACGAGTATTTAAAGAGTAGATTTAAATATTTTTTTTACCTTCATGTGGTAATTCAGTAACTTACCCAGATGTTACCTCCATCCCAGAGACTGCCAGGTTATGTTAGGCTATAAGGCAATGACACTGTCTTTGCAGCACAAATATGAGTCTTTGCCTTCCCTTGGCAGCCAGGTGTTAAATCATCACTAGATGAAAATAATATCTAACATTCACTTTTATGACCTTAGCAAACCATTCACCTATGAGTCTTCCTTTTGCTTCTCTGTATCAAGCACACATTTACTCAACACAAAATAAAAGCAGCCTTAAGTTTGACTCACTCTTATTTGCACTGACTTGGAGAATTGCACAATTTGTCAAAGAAAGGAATGGCCATTCTTCAACTTACAAACAACAGGCTTCATGCTGGGCTCTGAGAGCTCACATTTAACCCTGCCCTCGGAATGGATAAAAAGGTAAGTATCTAATACTCTCTGTACTTGACTAAGAGTCATCAACATGGACCTTTTTTATCTTTTTCTTAAACCAATATAAAAAGGGGGGACACTAAAAAACTGTACGCACTTGTGAGATTGTAGACCACTTTCTTAAGGTAACCACCATCTGGTTCTCTAAACAAATTCTTGTTCAATTATTTTTCACTTTCACTGTGAATGCCGCCCTGCCCTCCCACTTCTAAATTCAATTGTACACCCAAAGTGAGATTTTTTTTTTTCCCAAGGAAGCATTAGAGAGGAATAAAAGAAAATGTAGAAATACTGATAATGAGCTGGCAATAATAGGAAATCAAGTATTACTTTCAGTACAACAAGGAATCTGGAGCAGCAGATGTCAGGATGAACCCCAGAGGGAATTTAATGGGGCCTTGAGTTAGTCTGAGAATTTTCACAGCATTCCTAGCTCCAACACCTTGACTTTCTTCAGGGAACTGGCATAAAGACAAAATTCAGATCTGCCTATCTCTACAATCAGGGACCAAATGACATTGAGAATGTCTAACAGCTCATAAATGTTGACACCAAAAGCTTCCCTCTCTACCATGAAGTATAGATTATTGCAGCTTGAAACTTGGACCTTAGGAACTTGTACTGATGCTTTATAGGACTGTCAGGTGAGCTGGGAATGGAGCAGGAGCTAGCCTGAGACATGCACACTGAGATGAGACAAGGGATAGCTCCAGAGCTACTGGAGGTCACATCATGCCCAGTGTCCATGGGGCTATACTTGCCTCCATCTTCATTTTCAAAATGGCTGTACCAGCAAGTTGCATCTAGTCAGCAAAGGCCAGAAGTAGACTGGTGGATACTGACAGGTCTAAATGTCAGTGGGCACACTCTCTAGGGTCTTATTCAAAGCAAGAGAAGCAGATCTAAATAATGGGGTCACTAGAGCTAGGGTCTCCAGAATCTGGACTCGTGAACTACACAACTAAACCAACTGGACTAAGGAAAGGGCATCAGAACTGTAGTTCTAGTATGTGGACTGAGTGAATGAATATAGAGAAATAAGTTAGTGAAGGGGACTATACTCCAGACTTACCTGATTCCTTGTGGCCATTAATATTGCCAGTAGATCTCAGATGTAATTAGTAAAGAGCAGTGTGGGAGCCCCTCGGTCACCTGGAGTCATTGAATCTTCAGTCTGAGCATAACATAATACCAGCCTGGGAGGGGAGTCATGCTGTATTATCCATTTCCATCAGGGAGCTGAGCTTGAGGTTGGGGAGCATCAGCAGAACCAGCTGTGACCAGCTGGATCAACAGGTCCACAACGGCTACCATACAGGAGCTCCCTTGATAACTGCCAGGATTGGAATCCACTAAAAAAATAGCAATTCTTACCACAACGAATTAAAATATGACAGTGAAGTGCAGAAATGGAAGGAAGGGGAGACTGGAAACCATCCTTTTGTCTTGAAGCAAAAATCCAAGGCTACCGGTGACTTCTCTCATGAGCTCATTTATATTTTTACTTTCAAATTTTGCTTCCTCAGTGAATAAAAAATATCTGGTGATTAGAAGGCAAGCAGAAAAAAAGCAGGATTAATGCAGAAAGCCTTAGCTCCATATTGTACAAATTTCCCAGTCTCTATGTTTTAGTCACTTGGTGGGGAGGGGCATTTTAAAGGATGAGTTTTGTTACTTCTTCCTTTTACAAAATTTAACATTGGGCATAATTCATCACGTTAATGTAAAGACAACATTTTCTATCTGAGATAATACTGAAAATCAATGTTAAAATTTATGATGAAAACGGAATAAATATTTGTAGTACTAGGGTAAAATATCCAGTGGGGTATCATAGCTATTTATGGGAAGGAAAATTAAATTCTATCCCTCTCTGTCCAACTCTGCAACTGACTTTTAAACTTTGGTAATTTAACATTATATTTCACAAATACTATGGTATCTTATCCATTAGGATGTGAAATCCAGGAGAGCAGGGAATTTCATCTGCTTTATTTACTACTGTCTTTCTAGTGCATAGAGTAAGTAGTAAATATTGTGAATCAACAAATTATTTCAGGGACTATGAGAAAAACTACTATGGAAACATTACATTTGCTTATCCACAGCCTTATCCCCATTTCGGTGTTTCAACAAGGGCTCAGCTGTTCCCAGGACTTCATCTGCACCTTCCTCTTCCTTCCAACCTATCAGGTTGGGTTTACCAACAACCAAAGAAGTGCTCTCTGATTGTGCTCATTCCACATGGCTCTCCTCTGACTCTAAAGAATCCAGTGGAAAAGTCAAAAGGTGAGAGTGAGGCCACAATATTCCTGGGAATACTTCAGAATGCACAGGACTAGGGGCTGTGAACGGTCACAGGGCACATTTCCCCTTCCAGCTTCTGCTCTTGATCACAAACAGCAGAATGAGAGGATATGCTGTTTCCCTTTAGGACCCGAGTTGTTACCTCAGTGATTTTCACTCTCTTTCTAAAAAACCTGCTAGCATAGCCATGCTCATGGTTAATACCCTCAGGAAATATTTCCATTGACAAGGGGTGCCATTGTGCTACTTCCCATAAAAGGGTAATCATGCCCGTGGCTTCTTTTGGACTTGGATCCTTGCAAGTTTTTCAGTCACTTTTGTCCAAGAAGAAAGGGCACAGTCGAGGTGTAGAGTCTGCCAAACTCAGTCAAATATCCTGAAATGTGTTCCAACATTTGGAATTTGACAAGATTCCCAAGGACATCTGGCTTTGGTCCCCCTTCTCCCTTAATTACTGAGCCCAAACAGAAAATGTAATCCATCTACTTCAGAGTCATTTTCCCAAAACTCATCCAAATTTTCCTTAGTAAGCCTATTAGATGTCTTTGTCTTCGTGGGCCTAACACCTTCCTTCTCACGTTTTATTTCTTGGAACTAGGAAGCAGACAGAGCCAAGGGCAACGGGGCTCCATTTCAAACACAAGACACAATCTATAAAATCAGGTGCTGGCGGTGGAGGGTCAAGAGTCTCACTCCCAGAATTACAGCTGTGACACCTCTGAGGGGGAACTAAGGGAGTCTCTAGGACAAATGTACCCTTGGAAGGACAGAGAACACAACTAAGGATAGATTCTCTCCAACCCATATTCAGTAGCACCCGGGGCCAACGTCTTACCACAGTTCACGGAGAGAAACGCAGAAGCAGAGATTTCACTAACTCCTGCTGTTTGGTGGTGGTCATATGGCGAACACTGGACTTGGAACACAAGAAAGCCTGCAAGATCCACCTAAGACCTTTTCATATGGCCCTGAATCTCAAAGTAAGACAAAGTCAAAATGGGTCAAAGTCCTAACTCCTAATAAAACACTTACTACTTTTGTGTCCTTGGGCAAGTTCCCTAATATCTCTGAACTCGTGTTTTCCTGCTGTAAATTAAGATTATGAAACTTCCCTTGCATATTTGTTATAACAGGTAAGATTATAAAGCTTATTAGCACAGTGCCTGGCATTGGAAAGTACTCAGTGACAGCTATTTGTTTTGTCATTTTTTATTTTTATAATAATTTTTTGAGATAGAATTCACATACTACACAATTTATGCATTGAAAGTATACACTTCAATAACTTTTCATATATTCACAAAGTTACATGACATCACCAAAGTCAACGTTAGAACGTTTTATCACCACAAAAGTAAACTCCATTCCATTAGAAGTCATTCACAGTTCCCCCTAAACCTAGGCAACCCCTCATCTCTTCTTTTCCCTGTGGATTTTCCTGTTCTGGACCTTTCATACAAATGGAATGATATAATACATTATCCTTTGTGACTGACTTCTGTTACTTAACATAATGTTTTCCAGGTTCGTCCATGCTGTAGCACCTATAGTTCATTTCACTTTATTGTTGAATATATGCTATGATGCCACTGTGTGGATCTCTTCATCTCTTTTTATTGTTTAATATTATTATTCCATTGTGTCGATATACCACATTTTAATTATTCATTCATTCATCACTTATCAAAAATGTGGATTATTTCCTTTATTTGGTTATTATGAATAATGCTGCTATCAACATTCATGTACAAGTTATGTGTGAAACTTCATACCTCTTGGGGAGATCTTATGGTGACGTTACCTCCATGTTTAACCTCTTAAGGAACTGCAGATGTCTCCAAAGCGAATGCACCATTTTAAAGTTCGTTTGATAGCAAATGAGGATCTGATTTCTTTCCAATCTACCAATACTTATGTTTGTCTTTTTCATTATAGCCATTCTAGTGGGCATGAAGTGGTATTTCACTGTGGGTTCGATTTTTATTTTCGCAATGGCTAATGATGTTCAGCTTCTTTTATGTGCTTATTGGACATTTGTATGTCTTCTTTGGGTAAACGTCTATTCAGATCCATTTTTATTTTAATTGCTTTTTTGTCTCTTTATTACTGAGTTGGCAATATTTATATATTTCAGATATAAGCCTCTTATCAGATATATGATTTGTAAACAGTCCTCCCCATTCTGTGGGTATCTTTTCACTTTCTTTTTTTTTTTATAAATTAATTTTTATTGGTGTTCAATTTACCAACATACAGAATAACACCCAGTGCTCATCCCGTCAAGTGTCCCCCTCCGTGCCCGTCACCCATTCACCCCCACCCCCCGCCCTCCTCCCCTTCCACCACCCCTAGTTCATTTCCCAGAGTTAGAAGTCTTTATGTTCTGTGTCCCTTTCTGATATCTCCCACACATTTCTTCTCCCTTCCCTTATATTCCCCTTCACTATTATTCATATTCCCCAAATGAGTGAGAACATACACTGTTTGTCCTTCTCCGATTGACTTACTTCACTCAGCATAATACCCTCCAGTTCCATCCACGTTGAAGCAAATGGTGGGTATTTGTTGTTTCTAATGGCTGAGTAATATTCCATTGTATACATAAACCACATCTTCTTTATCCATTCATCTTTCGATGGGCACCGAGGCTCCTTCCACAGTTTGGCTATTGTGGACATGGCTGCTAGAAACATCGGGGTGCAGGTGCCCCGGCGTTTCATTGCATCTGAATCTTCGGGGTAAATCCCTAACAGTGCAATTGCTGGGTCGTAGGGCAGGTCTATTTTTAATTCTTTGAGGAACCTCCACACAGTTTTCCAGAGTGGCTGCACCAGTTCACATTCCCACCAACAGTGTAAGAGGGTTCCCTTTTCTCCACATCCTCTCCAACATTTGTTGTTTCCTGCCTTGTTAATTTTCCCCATTCTCACTGGTGTGAGGTGGTATCTCATTGTGGTTTTGACTTGTATTTCCCTGATGGCAAGTGATGCAGAGCATTTTCTCATGTGCATGTTGGCCATGTCTATGTCTTCCTCTGTGAGATTTCTCTTCATGTCTTTTGCCCATTTCATGATTGGATTGTTTGTTTCTTTGGTGTTGAGTTTAAGAAGTTCTTTATAGATTTTGGAAACTAGCCCTTTATCTGATATGTTATTTGCAAATATCTTCTCCCATTCTGTAGGTTGTCTTTGAGTTTTGTTGACTGTATCCTTTGCTGTGCAAAAGCTTCTTATCTTGATGAAGTCCCAATAGTTCATTTTTGCTTTTGTTTCTTTTGTTTTCGTGGATGTATCTTGCAAGAAGTTACTGTGGCCAAGTTCAAAAAGGGTGTTGCCTGTGTTCTCCTCTAGGATTTTGATGGAGTCTTGTCTCACATTTAAATCTTTCATCCATTTTGAGTTTATCTTTGTGTATGGTGCAAGAGAGTGGTCTAGTTTCATTCTTCTGCATGTGGATGACCAATTTTCCCAGCACCATTTATTGAAGAGACTGTCTTTCTTCCAGTGGATCGTCTTTCCTCCTTTGTCGAATATTAGTTGACCATAAAGTTCTGGACTTTTTTCAGAGACTTAGAACAAATTATTTTAAGATTTGTGTGGAATCAGAAAAGACCCCGAATAGCCAGGGGAATTTTAAAAAAGAAAACCATAGCTGGGGGCATCACAATGCCAGATTTCAGGTTGTACTACAAAGCTGTGGTCATCAAGACAGTGTGGTACTGGCACAAAAACAGACACATAGACCAATGGAACAGAATAGAGAATCCAGAAATGGACCCTGAACTTTATGGTCATCTTTTCACTTTCTTGATGGTATCCTTTGTAGCAGAAAATTTATTGTTTTGATGAAGTCTAGTTTATCTATTTTTCCTTTTGTTGCTTATGCTTCTCATGTCATATCCAACATTATGAAGATTTTCCATATAAAGTCTTCTAAGCATTTTATAGTTTTAACTCCTACATTTAGTCTTAGATCTATTTTGAAATAATTTTTATATATGTTGTGACACTGGAATAGTCCAACTTCATTCTTTTGTATGTGGATAGCCAGTTTTCCCAGCACCATTTGTTGATGAGGTTAGCTTCCGCACTGAATTTTTGGTACTGCCTGTGGAAAATAAGTTGATTATAAATGAGAACTTTCATTTCTGATTCTTTTTTTTTAATTGTTATTATTTTTATTTTTTGTTTTTTCATTTCTGATTATTGATACTAATCCACTGATCTACATGTTTATCCTCATGCCAGTAACACACTGTCTTGATCAATGTTGATTTGTAGTAAGTTTTGAAATCAGAAACTATGAATCTTCCAAACTTTTCCTTCTGTTTCAAGATTGTTTTTCCATAAATAAGATCACATCACCTGCAAATAAAGAGAGTTTTATGTCTTCCTTTCCAAACTGGATGCCCTCTATTTCTTTTTCTTACCTAACTGCCCTGACCAGAACCTCCAGTACAATTTCTCAATGGAGGCAGCAAGAGCAGACAACCTTGTCTTAGGCTGGATCTTAGAGGAAAAGCTTTTAGCCCTTCATCATTAAGAATAATGTTCACTGTGGGTTGTTCACGGATACTCTCTTTCAGGTTGAGGAAGTCTCCTATTCTAGTTTCTTGAATGTTTTTATCATAAAAGTTGTTATTGTTATTACACAAAAATGCAGCTGTTCTCTCCTTTCCCTTTTTTCCTCTCTTCTTTCCCTTTTATGATTTCTTTCCAGAGCCTGGTAGGACACCAGGATGACATCAGGGAAGCGGAAACCATGGGCTGCTGTGCATCCATTCCCCGAAGTGCTCTATGAGCAAGCATCTGCCACCTTCTCCCTCCTGTCTGCACTCCTGACCTAGATTGGTGCCCTTGTTGTTCTGGCACAAGTTGCTTCCCTTCCACTTTGGCCTGCTTTGCTGGCCCACTGCGTTCTGATTCTAGGGGACTGGCTTCCTGTCACTCTTCTTCAGGGTTCAGATCCCTGTCTGCCTCATTACAGGTGTCCTAGACTACTTTGACAGCCAATGGTATTTGGAAAGCTAAAGGCTATTTTCCAGGCAGTAGAATTTCCTTTTTACTCCATACCAGTTTGATTCCATGAATATATCATGAGAACTTTTTAATGCCAAGTATTGAGCTCGTTTGATCCTAATATTAATAATAACTCCATCATGTTGTTTTTACTTTAGTCCCATTTTACAGAACAGAAAGCTGAGGCTCCATGTGGCCGGCCAATTTGTCTGAGGTTACATACATAGTAAGTGGCAGAGCCAGAATTTGATGACATTTCTGTCTGGGTGGAGCAAAAGAGAGGAACATGCATCTAGTTGTAATGGCTAAGACAAAACTCAGGGCATTAGTTGCCATTTTGGAATAGCTAGGAACTAGGAAAGTGGTACACCTCATTCCAAATACAAGGCTTCTGTTGCTCCTGTGTGCCAACTTGTCCAGTATCTTGCAAAAACATATGCCCACTCATCCAAGACATGCTGAACCACATCATGCTATCTCTACTGCTGTACCTTCCATATGCTTTTATCTCTGCCTCAAAAACACTCTCTTCTACTCAACTGCCAACTTTTAGATGCCTGACTAATTTCTATTCCTATTTCAAGACCTAATACAAGAATCACTTTCCCTGGGAACTCCTTCTGATCCACACCAGACTGTGTTTTGTTATATTCCATACATACCTTTGCTATAGACTCACCACCTTTTGCTCTCTCCCCCTCAACAAATTACCAGTAAACCATGAGCACCTTCAAGGTGGGGCCATGGTTAGTTCTCTTCTGTCTCCCAGGAGAGTTCCTGGCCCTATGTTTTTTCAAATAACTAACTGAATCTTAAGGATGAGCCCCTATAAACAGATGCCATCTCTTGTAGAAGGTTTAAAGCATCTCTCAGTAAACCAACCCAAATAAATGAATATTTGGGACTTTTTGTTCTCTTCTATTATGGAGAATCTGATTCTTAAAACAAGAGGTTCAGGCCTATGAAATTTGAACCTAAAACAGTAAAACCACCTTCGCACTCTGCAAAATACAACTCACAGTCACCGGATCACCAAGAGACAGACCTCAGGAAAGAGGATAATAGAGGAGGAAATGAAGATTCTCACTTTAAATACAAAAAAGATCACCCTCATGTTCTTAACACGTAGGGATCCACTGTCAGAGCCAGAGATGACTTTGAGATTAAATGGTACAAGCCATCCATTTCTTTAGCTTCTAAATAAAAATGAGAATTTTATTTCTGACTCAAGTCAGCTCAGGGAAAAGATGCCAGCTACAAGGTGTTTTGGAGGGCTCTCTGTGGCAACTCTGAGAGCAAAGCTTTAATGTGTCACCTTTTGCTTTCTTCTCTAAGAGAAAGCTGTGAGGTCAGGCCCAAGATGACAATGCCAAACAGCTCCCAACACGTTCTTGGTCTTAATATTTAACAATTTCCCCTCAAACCCTGGCACATCATGGGTTGAAGATACACATTATTTTCATTTAGACAAGAATTCTGAAGTACTGGGTATTTTCAGGAGGGCTTTCTGTTAAATGTTAAAGAAAACATGGTTTTAAGATAGATTACCCCTGGTCATTTATCTAACAGATCATACTGCGATCTGTAAGCTCCATCCTTCTTGCAGCTTTCACATTCTATTAAAATGGGATCTTCTACCAGGAAATTTACTCAGACAGGGGAGTTAATTTGAGGTTGAAACTGTAAAGTGGCCAATTATCTCTCTGCCATTGGGTGTATATGATCTTTACCCCAAGCTTTGGAAATAAGACAACATTTAGCAAATATTCTTTCCTCAAAGCTAATGAGTTAAAAAGAATAACAGATAACAGTATATTGGGAAAAAATTACATGGTCTTTACTGCATTTTAGTGTTATTGCCTGTTAACACACAGTGTGGTGTGCCAACTCATGAGAGAACTCCAGTCTTCTAAGGAATCGATTTCTGAATTGTTGAGTTTATGGTGTCCGAGTCATATCGTTGAACAGACTGGGAGTACAGGAGACCATGTCTGTGCAATCTGACCTAGGGGAAGCTATGAATCATAGGTTGTCCTTCTGTTCTGATAATATCCAGACCATCAGCACACTCTGGGTAATGACATTTGAGGCTTTTCATCCAGGACTATCCAGTTTCTTACTTCATGGGTTATACTGGTCCTAGGACCAGGTAATCTAATATACCTAATATAAGTAACAATTTATCCTTACTCAAAGTCCTACTAGGTAGAAGGTCTTTGCCAGCCTCTGTGGAAGAACAG